AAAGATTAAATTTTTATCAATTGATTTGAAAGAGAAAGAGGAAAAAAGAGAGGGAGGGAAGGAGAGAGTGAGAGAAAAGCCAATTTGTTGTTCCACTTAGTGATGCATCATTGGTTGATAGTGGTATGTGCCCTGCCCAGGGACTGAACCTACCACCTTGCTGTACCAGGGTGATGTTCTAACCAACTGAGCCACCTGGCCAGGGCTATATATTTTTTTTTAATTAAACAAGAACAATACACATAGTACCATGATTCCATTTAACTTTAAAAAAAATTCCTATATAGCTATGTCTGTACTTATTTGTATAAATCCAAATGAAAAGGTTTAGGATACAAATCAAAATGTTACTAAGACAGTGGGATTGAAGGATGAGGCGATTCTGGTGTGGTTTTTTGTGTTTGTTTGTTGTGGGGGTTTTTTGTTGTTGTTTTCACAACAAGCATATATTATTTTGCTGTTTAAAAATGAAAAATAAACCAAAAAAAATGAAATGAAATAAAAGACATGAAATGTTTGGCAACATATTTCAATTCTCTCTACTTCCATGAAATATAAAGAAGGATTTGTTTTTTTAAATATCTTCACAAGAAATATGTTTAACATGTTAATTTATTCTAAAAGAGAAAGAAATGATAAAGCCACAGATATCAATTCTATGGGTCAGGGGGTTCTCAAATATACTATTCTAAGAGTCACAGAAGCTGGAATTCATAATGTTCTTTATGGAACCCCATGAAATATTGATATTCAGTAGACCCTTGGCATTCAAGAATTTAAGTCATGCTTTAAATTATTTATAAATCATCCCCAAAATCCATTACATGCAGTAATTTGTAAGTTTGCTAAGACATAAATTTGTACTGTGCCAATTACAAAGCTCATGAGGCAGAGCAAGTGAACTGGTGACTAAGGAAGCAGGAAAAATGGAAGGTGCTCTGTCCTTGGAAAAAGTAGGGAAAAGGCTGAGAGCTCCATATTTTATAAGTACCCACATTGCTTATTTCTTAGATTAGATGAGAATGTGAAGAATGAAGTAGGGAGGCTAGAGACTCATCATAGAGAGGCTAGATCCCCTACACCATAAAAATACATGCTAGAGACCTCAGGGATGGAGAAGCATGGAGCTCGTGGAAGGGGACCTTGGTGCTTGGAGGTGGCTGGAATGTATTATTAAGGTAATTAAAACAGTCCATTAACTTGCCCTTCCCATTTCTCAATCAACTGAAGTTTTCATGTACTACAAGGGACAGAATAAAAAACTTCCTCCTAATACAAGTTCAATGAGGTAATTCATTCTTGTTGTCTCCAAGCTGCCCTTGGAAAGAAAGTCTGGGCTCATAAATTGTTTCAAAAGTCCTACATCAATCCCATTAGCACCCACAGCTAAAGACTAAAGAATCCTAAACTCCAGCTCCAAGTTCACTCTTGAGCTTCAAACTCATATTTACTTAACCACTAGCTAGACATTTCTTCTCCAATATCCAATGCACCTCAAAACTCAAAATGTCAAAACTGAAATTCTCCCTCTGTATTCTGAACCATAGTTGTGGCCAACATAATTTATCCATCCATTCTAGCCAGAACCTTGGAAGTCTATCTTTCCCTCCTCCTTTCCTGCACTTTCCCCAGATCCAAGCAACAGGTCCTGCAGTTCTGCTTCCTAAATGTTTCTCTACTCCAATGCCTGTGTATTATCCTTAATGTTACTGCCTTACTGCCCTGAGTCCATTCTCTTTAGTTCTTGGCTATGTTGATACCCTAGTCTCCTCCCTCTTCCCCGTCCTTTATATTGTTTTCTTCCTACCTCTCCTCTGCAGAGCTGCCAGGATTATTTCTGTGGCTAAAAACATCTCAAGGTCCTCCCTCCACAAACTAGTCCCCACTGCTGGCTGCACTCTCATCTCTGCAACTTGACTTTGCACTAAGAACTCTAAAAACAATAGTTCCCAGCATACCATTTGTATTTCCCCTGCTCTTACGCCTGCTGCCCCATCTACCTAGCTGGACTCCTACCTCCACCTTTTCTGCACCTGGGTCCTGCCTACTGCTCTTCTGTTAAGATTCAGCTCAATCATTTCTTTTAGGAAGCCTTCCCTGGGAATCCTCCACCTGGGTTAGGTAGTCCTCAAAGCCCCCATAAAAATCAATGTGTGGTCACATTATTTTATGATTCGAATCATGTCTCTCACAAAACTATGAACTCCTTATTAACTGCCTTTTTCATCTTTTAATCCCAGACTCTAGCACACTGTCTTGCATATAACACAAAGACTACTTAGTGTAATGATTATTAGAATAACCTCTGCAGTAAAAAAAATTGGATTTAAATATCAGCTTTGACATTTCTTAACCTCTGACCTTGAACAAGTTGGTTTAAACTCTCAGAATCTCAGGTCTCTTAATCTATAAACGAGAGATATAATCAACCTACTTTCCAGGATTCTCTAAAAATTAAGTGAAATAATATCTTAGTGCTGGGTCTAGCCCAGAATAAGGGCTCACTAAATGGTTGTGGTTTTTTGTTTTTATTTGTTATTGTTAATAGCATAATTAATGCCACTATATTACTACTATTAATGAATGCTACTGAGTGCATGAATGAATGAGTGATAAATGAAAAGATGTTTCTATGGGACTGATCAGAGCTATGCTATAAATGGTACTAACCCAAATGACCAATCAGGAGCAAAGGGTATAGGATTCCTTGATGTAGTAAACCAACACAGAGAAGCTCTGGGAAATACAGCCTTTCCTAAGAAATAGCTGTGTGAATAAGCATTATAGTCCATCTCCCCTGCTAGTTCCCCAAAGAAAAACGAGTTAGGACTCCACAGCAGACATCTGTACATAGAGAAATGAGATACTTAACAGCCAGCTTATTTGCTTCAGCAATTATTGTCACAGTGGGAGGCTGCATAGAGAGATCAGAGCAGCCAGTATATCTGGAAATGGTTCTCATCACCAAAGCACCTACCTCCACGTATACTCCATATACTCTGAATGAAATATTTCAAGTTGCTCCCAAACAATACGGTATAACAGAACTCTAGCCCCGATATTCTTCTCCCGCGAGGCAGACTTTCATTTCTACTAGACCGCTTTCACAGATATGCCACCACTGCCTCAAGCCAAGAAAGTCCTCCCTGTCCGTTCCCCAGCTTCCACATCTACGCTTCCCTCTGCTCTGTTACGAACATTCTCAATATCTCTTTCTCAATATCCTGTTAGTCATCAGGTTTGTTAATTCTATCTCCAAAATGTCTCTCACATTTCTCTGCTTCTCTCTGGTCCCAATGCCACCATTCCAGTTCAGGTTTTCACTCCCTGTGGCCTCCTGTAACAGTTCTTAGGCAGGTCCTGGCTCCATCTTACATATCACTGCTACACACCCCTAACCACAGAACTCCCACTCTAAACCCTTCAAAAAGTCCCTGAAGCCATAAAATACAGTCCTGATTTCGTATTTAATCTGACTTTCAAGCACCACCCTGATTTGTTCTGTAGCTTCCTCCCCTGCTCTCACACACATCCACGCACACAAGCACGACACTGCGGTGTACATAGACGTCCATGGACTGTACATACTTCCCTGCCTCTGCACCTCTGCTCAAAAACTATGCCCTTCACTGAAAGTCCTCCTCACCAAACCACCTTGCTAACAGGCCAGCCGTCTTTCAACACCTAACTCAAATACCTCCTTCAAAAGAGGTTAGCTAAGCATCTTTCCTCTCCCCTGCTTACGGTGTACCCCAATGTTCCCAACCATTTCAAGCCTCCTCATTTGTTAGGTTGATTTCAACCAACCTAAGAAAACTACCAATTTTTTTCCTCCTCTCAGAATTTATCCAAACCTAACTATAATATCGAAAAAATAGTGTAATGTATACCATTTATTTATTTCTAGACCTCTTTCCTTCATTCATTTGATAATGAATGGACACATGACCCAGAAAGGGTAATAATACTACCTCACCTTTCAGACCACTATGAAGGGTCAGAGCGGAGACTCTATAATCCAAATTCCTAGAATTTAACACCGAAGCAACCACAGAGAGACTCTTGTTTTTTCTCTTAACTTAAAAAAGTGGATGACATGAGCCTAAAGCTACCTGCAACCATGTTGTACACCCTGTGAAAAAGTCTGAAAATAGTGAGGAATTCAAGAGGCAAAAATAAGAAAACCATAGACCAATCTGATTTTGATCAAGTCTCTGGCTGGTCCCTATGATCTATAGTTTCTGCTGTTTCTCTTTCCATTCTGGAAACTGAATTAGTCCTATATCTTTGTGTGGTAGATAGTCATCAAAGAGGGCTGCCAATAATCCTGTCCATTCCTTTATATACAAATCATTCCATCGGACAAGTGGAGTCTAATCCCCTCCTGAATCTAAGCTGACAGTGGTAACTTGCTCTGACTGAAAGAATACAGCAGAAATGATAATGTACTGGTTCCAGTCCGAGGCCTTAAGGGATCTGAAAGCTTCTACTTTCACTCTCTTGAGATCCAGGTGTCAGGCAAAGATTCTCAGTTTAAACTACCACATGAATGGTCCAGCCTCAGCTGAGCTCCCAGCTGAATGCAGCCAAGCTGACACCAAAACAGCGTCTGAAAAGAACTGCCTAGCTGAGTCCAGCCAACCCACAGAATTATAAGAATTAATAAATCATTGTCAGGTTAAGCAACTAAGTGCTGGGGTAGCTGACTTCCCAGCAACAGACAGCTGGTGCATTTTATTTTGCTTAAGTTGATCCAGTTAGGCTTCCTTCTGTCATTTACAACCCAGTCCTAATTAGATTGTGTACAGGACATACCATTCTTTCCATTCAAGTTCATAAATTCAAGCACCCTTATTATCCCTCCCAAATTAGACAATTACATAAATGGCAAGGGGTGCCATAAGGAAATTGATGAAAAACAGACTATTTCAGAGCAATTTTCTGCATTATCAGAAGTTATAGAGTCACACAACTCTTGTAGACAGTATGATAAGTATGGTAGAAAAAGCCCTTGTACCCAAAATGAAAAGACCTATATTTGAGGCCCAAGGTTCTCCAGCAATGTACTCTTGGGCCCCAGTTACCTCCAAGGTGTTGAATGACGGTACATCAGTAGCTCTCAACCTTTCATGCACATTAAAATTGAAAAACTTTATTTAAAATAATACTGACATGGAGGCCCCACACACCAAGTGAATGAGAATCTCAGGAGTAGGGCCCGGTGGGGGAAGGTAATTTCTGCCCGTTCTCTCCACCTCCCTTCTCACTCTTCCCCAGGAGAATGTGATTGATTCTTTCCAACTGAAATGACCCAAGTCTACTCTGCAGAGCTGGCCAAACTGTTCTTAGTCCCTAGTAATTGGCAATCTCATGCCATTAAACTATAAACAGGTGGCCACAGCCTCCTGTTTCACTCTTTTTTAACTTTCCTTCTCACCTGCTCCCGTATTGCAGACATCCCTTCAGGACCAGCTGCAAGCCAGTGTTAAGACTGAAACTGGGTGGGGATGGAGGGTGGGGCTTGGAAAGGTCTTCTTGGGTCTCAGTCTAAGTCATCATCTCTGGGCCAGCTTTACCAGAGAGCCCTGCATAAAAGGTTATGAAAAGGCTATGAAACCTTGAGCCCTGTTTCTCCTGCGCTATGAGAGGTGAATCTCCCTCAGAAACCCTAAGATAAGGAAAAGCAATTGGCCAAGTAGAGCTCAGGCATTCCTGGAACCTGGCTAAATAACTCCCTTGATGTCATCAAAATCTCACAAATACCTCAAATATTTTGCATCTGTTTATTGCTCCTCTCTACAATCTATGAAAGAAAGTGCTTCTGAAAGTTGTACTTGTGACCATGAAACTGATGGCTTGAACTAAACATAGTAACACATGTCTACTACAGATTTTATTCTGAAAAAACACACTTCTCTTGGAAAATAAAGGGAGTCATATTAATATGTTCAGATAGTAGAGCATGTTAGGGCTCAAAGTAAATAAGTTTTACCTTAATCTTTTATGGTCAATACACTGAGTCAGAAAACATTTTGTTTTCATTTATTAAACTTGACTCCAAAAGCAAGCAAGTGGTTGGGCCTACAGTTATTAGACCCCACATCTCTAGCTGGAAGAAAGAATCCAGTGAAAAGCTGAACCTGCTCTGGGGGGAGAGGAGGCAGGAGTGAGGGGGTACTCTAAAAGGCCTGACCCTTGGGATGGCTACTGGCCTTTCAGTCACTCCAGGGCACACTATCCTAAAACTAATCCTACTTTTTGGCTCTCGTTGAGACAAATGATGAGGACTCAGCTCAGCCGCAGGTCTACAGGACCATGAAAACTATCATCTATAGCCACCAAGAGGAAGAATACCTGACCTTCTGCTCCAGGGAAATCTTTCCCTTTTTTCTATATTTGCATCCAATATAGGCCTCATTTTCTTTAAGTGCCCAGTATTAAAGAATGCATAAGTCATCCAAACCATACTAGTTACTTAGCAAAAACTGAAAGAGAAGGTTTATAAACACTGGAAGTTAGCCCAGAAGTAATCCTGAAATAGGCTATGAAGAAGCAACCCATTAGCTATAACGCTCTTCAAGAAGAAGGTGTTTACATGCCATTTGAGAATAGCCAATAAAATAGAAAAGGCCAGCTTTTCAGAATGACAGTATCAGTTATAACCCCAGTCACGTGGTCTTTCCCATTCTCCCAGCCTGAAAATCTCTAAATTAAACAGCTTTGTTTTCTACAATGCAAATGCTATATTAAAGGGTAGTTTTTCTTGTTATAATCTTCATAAGCTTATTAATAAAGAGCAATTTTGTTTTTTCCTTGCTATATACAACATATAATTAATTCCTACGCAGAACACTTGATGAAGAAAACAATCAGATAATGAATTTTTTTAATCACCTTGGATGAAATGATAGACTCTTCCTGATCAGCATTTTTGCATTTTTTTCCTGTGTCTTGCTCTGCTGATGTACTTTCTGAGCTTCCAGGTGAAACCAATCGCTTTCTTCCTTGCTGTGTTAGTGTTACTTGGGTTTTATCTTTGCAGATTCCTTCTCTTCGACTTTCCTGGATTACATTATCTTAAACATATGTAAGTACACATACACAAAGAAAAAGGAGAAGAAAATTATTTTCTGTATTTTCAGATGTCAATAATCCAGTCAAATTACTCTGCCCTTTAATTAGCTGGATTCAAGTACTAATTTACTTCTAACTCTTCCTGTCTTTAAGGAAATTCAGCAACCTAACTTCACTCTCTTAAAAATTCTAAGACTTTTCTACCTTATTTTGAAGCTTTCACATTTTAAGTACATTGTGTACTATATACTATTCATGTCCAAATCAAAGTCAAATCACTCTCATTTGTATTTTCAAGGAGTGTCCAAAAATGTGCTTCATATTTTATGTGGTACATCTATCAAGTGAAAGGTAATAGCTATTTATAATTTGGAGCAAAGTATATTTTGGACTATTGTAAGTAATGTAATAGTGGTGGCCCAGAAGCAATTACAGTACAAAACAACTATGAAAGAAAACAACTTGTTTGCAGGGAGGTATTCCCATTTTGGTCAAGTAAAAGCTATTCTTTCTGTATTAGAGAACTTGTTCTACTGAGGAAAAGTGCCTGCCTCTCTCCACTACCAACCTCCATTTGCCATTACCATCCTGCAAATTGAGAATTAGCACATTTAATGAGAAATGTTACAGGTGAAAATATATTCTACATATAAAATGGGGGAGGGTATTGAAAACCACTGCAATGGAATGAAACTCTTACTAGAAAATGTTAGGTTTAGATATGAAAATTCTCCAGATAAAATCATATCTCCCTCAATACAAAATATACAACCTATTTTTCCCACGAGATAACTCTGATCCTACTATAATCCAAACTAGCATTAAATGCTAGTCCATAGCATACTTGATCAAAAACTTTAGAAGACTTCCGTGACCACTACACTGAATATTAGAAACAGTAAGAGTAGTAATATCGACTAAAATATATGCTCAATTGTGCTGTTAATTTATAAAAGGTAATGTTCAGGGTAAAAATGAAAGAGTAGCTTGAATGAACTAACCATCCCAAACAAAACTGTTATAAATTTTAGACAAAATATAAAAAAGCAACTATTCAAATACACTGGAGAATGACCCAAAAGGCAAAGGCAGAGGAGAATCTATGCTTGAAAAACTCACTACAACCTGTGAGGTTTGTGAATTTGTGGCTCTTTCCCTGAGAGCATCTTCCAATTCACAGGTAGCAGAAAGCAGCAGCCTTACTGGCTTAACTGGTCAGAGGACACGTCTGAGGCTCGTGGAACGGGTAGAAAGATAGGGATAAAATCCTGAAAGGAAGAAAGCCGCAGAGAGCCAAGAACCAAAATCAACGCATAAAATCAACCCAAATCCTTAGATGACTACATGTGCCTGGCGGAAAGTCCTGGGACCCAGAGAAAAAGCAGCAGCTGGAAGCTGAAAGAACTAAGCAGAGACTATAACTGTTGTCCACACAGGGGAAACAGAGTTCAGGGCTTGAATTAACTGCCTATAAAAAGAAAATTGTCTATCAGGCCAAATTAATTATCTATTAGGACACAAATATTTATTCAGAGGAACATAAAATCAAAAGGCTCTACAATATATCATTTATAACATCCAATTTCCAATAGAAAGTCACTAGATGAGAATAAATAGGAAAATGTAACCCATATAAAAGAAAACAAACAGTCAAAAGAAACTGAATCTGAGATGACTGAAGAGTTGCAAATAAAATGCTGACTAAATTTAAGACAATATAATAATCTTGAATCAACAGGAATACCCAGCAGATGACATAAATCATTGTACTAGCTGCCACAACAGTGAGCTATGCTAGGACAGAGATCACCTCTTCTTTAAATCCTCCAGTACATAACATTGTGTGCTGACATATTTAATTATAGTAATTTATAAAGCCCTTATTAGACATGTCACCACAGGTTTGTTTAAAAATATGTATTAATATGGTAAGTATAGCACATATTAAAAAAGAAATTAGCAGGATGTTTGAGAAATGGCATAAATTATTGCTTCTGTTTTAAATTAGACTTCATATACACATCTGAAAAAAATGTTAGGCTAAGTTATACACTTACACAACTACTACTCTATCTCCACTTGCTCAGAAAAACTTTCAAATTCTGCTTAATGTTTTCTTGAAACAAAACCTACTTCCACTGATAACAGATGCTGAAAGGTTTTGATCACCTAGATCTGTTAACATCCATGCCGGAAGAATTCTTTTCCTCTGTGCAGGGTTTAACTGCTGCTTACTGAAGGCTGAACATTCACCTAGGAAAGACTAAAAATGCACCTATTTTATTAATTACGAAAAATAAGCATAATTTTAAAATTATTTACTTTGCAGAAAACTACCATGAAAAAAACCTATCTGCAACTGTGGACTGAGTTAGTCAAATTTCTCAAAGGAAAAAAAAGGGGGGGAACATCTGTAATACTTTCAACAATAAAGATAAATTAAAAAAAAAATTCATGGTCTCTATTAGTTGAAGTGTTGGTCTAGTGTGAAATTCTCTAGAGTTTAACTTAAAAAGAGCAAAAGCAAATTTATGCTAGCAATATTGGCATGATGTGTCTGATTTCAGTTGTCTTTTCTCTCCTCAAAATAACTTAAGGAACAGGTTATAATGGATGAGATCTTGAATTTCTCACCACACTATCTGTGGCAGAAGTCTGGGTCATCACTGTTTCTGTGCCTTTTTCCAACTGTGGAGCCCCAGTTGTCTCATCAGGCAAATTAACCACAGATGATTCTGATGTTTCATTCAAAGTATTATCTTCATCAAGCATTTGACTATTTCTATAAAATAAAATCAAAGTCATTTATTCATAATTTAAATGTAAAACACTTCTGTTGCTATTTGTTATTATAAATGTGAGTCTCCCAGGTACATCTAAATAATGAGTCATGCTACTTTTCTGACTTATCAGAACAAAAAAGCAGATTATAGTATCATAGGATAAAATATTTAGACTAGAACAGGTTCTTGGTCTTCTGACCACAAGATCACCATAAAATACATTAATCTTTCCAAATCCAGGGCCTAAAAACCACAGCTATTTATCGGATGGGGAACAGCCATCTCTTTCAAGGTTTAAGAGCTATTTACTTATTCAATATTTGTCCAGATAATCCATAAAAGATCACCACCCAGTATCCAAAGAGAAAATACAAACTGCAAGTATATCAGCTAAGTTAGGCTCTTGAAGAAAAAATAAATAAAATCCTGTAGCTGCTACAGGGGTTCTGGCCAATATAGTCACTTGTGAAATCTCCCCAAATGTGTAGCCTAACTGGAAGCTAAATGTTCTGACACAAGAGCATCCACAGTCACATGTGGAACATACGAGCAGAACCAATTACTTCCTACTTCCTGCAAATGCGATAAGATCATCCTAAGTTGTCGCATTGTTATTACTTATGTATGCATAGAGATGATCCAACAAATCTATCTTTTTGAAAATTTGAAAATGGAAATAGAAATACTACTCAGAAATAAAAAGGAATCAACTGCTGGTTTGTACAAAACATGGATGCATCTCAAAGGCATTTTGGTAAGTCAAGCCATTTATGTGACATTCTGAAGAGGTAAAGCTAGAGACAGAAATCAGATCAGTGGTTGCCAGGGGCTTGGGGTGGAGTTAGAGGACTACACAGACAGGTGACTGCTATCTCAAAGCGGTAGGCATACTAAAATGGATTTATTACGTAAGACTAGAGAATCCACTAACTGGCTCTGTTCCCCAGAAGGGCCCAGAACAATAAGCAATAAGGTACACACTAGTGAGGCAGTGTTGAGGAGCTCAATGGTAGCTGCCTCTATAAGTCAGGGGAGGCTGCCAAAAAACAGGGCTCCTTATTGTCAGTGGAGATGGCAGGGTTCTAGAATTGTACAGGCCTGGTGGTTAGCATTAACCATCGGCGGCTAAGTGGATGTTACTGGCGTGATAGAGAGCAAAGTTGGAATGGCACTGATCAGTAAGCATCTGTAACAATGTCTGTCCACCTAGCTGGAGACCACATTTTTCAGCTTTCCTTGCCACTCTATGTAGCCATGTACCTAATTTGGGGAGGGGGGGTAGTATAAATGGATATGTGCGAGACATATGTGCAAGACACTTGTCCTGGATTCTCTTCTTCATTTTCTTCCTATCAACTAGAAACACCAATGATGAAGCTAATTTGGAAGCTATATATTGAGGATGACAGTTATTCCATTAGCTAGAATACATGAATCACATTATGAAGGAGAACATAGCTATAACTCTGGTCTATCTTGTTTAAGCACTGCATTTGGGGGTTGTTGGTTTAAGGAACTTAGCTTTTACTCTAATACAGATATCAGCAAACTGCAACGCTTAATCCAAATTCAACCTGCTACTTGTTTTTGTAAATAAAGTGCTGCTGAAACGCAGCCATGGAGATCTGTTTTTGGAAAAATTCCACTGGGTCAAAGTATATTATGCTTTTTACATATTACTGGATTTGATTTGTAAATATTTTATTATAAGAAATATGGGTCTATATTTTCTCTTCTTGTAATGTTCTTGTCTGATTTCGGTATCAGAATTATGGAAGCTTCATAAAAGTGAGGAAGTATACCCTCTTCTATTTTGGGCAAAAGGGTGTGATATTGGTATTCTTCCTTGAAAGTTTAAGAGAATTAATCTACTAGTGAAGTTCCTTATAGAAAATTCTTAAATTGTGAACTCAATTTCTTTAATGGGCTTAGGATTAATTAGATTTTCTGTTTCTTCCTGTTATCAGTTTTGGTAAACTATGTTTTTCAAAGAATATATCCATTCATTTAGGCTACCAAATTTACTGGCATAAAATTTTATATATTTCTTCATTACTCTTTTAAGGTCTACATAATGATATCCCCTCTTCCATTACTGATATTTATAATTTGTGTTTTCTAGCTTTTTTTTATTGATAAGCCTTGATAAAGGTTTTTCCAATTTTATTAACCTTTTCAAAGAACCAAATTTTGTTTTTTGCTAATTTTATTTGTCTAGTTTCTGTTTCATTGATTTCTAGTCTTGTTCTTCTTATTTCTTTTTTTCTATCTACTGTGAGATTAATTTGCTTCTGTCTATCATCTTAAAGTAGAAGCATAAATCACTGATTTTATAGCTTTCTTGTTTTCTAATATAGTCATTTAATATCAATTTCCCTCTAAGGATAACTTTAGTTGCATCTCACAAATTTTTATGTTGTGCTTTCAGTATTATTCTGTTCAAAATGTTTTCTAATTGCCCTTATGATTTCCTTTAGACCCATGGGTTACTTAGGAATGTGTTGTTTAATTTCAAAATATTTGGAGATTTTTCTAAATAATTTATTACTGATTTTTAATTTAATACAAAAGTAATTAGAGAACATACTCTGTATAATTTTGTCCATCTACTTCTATAGGTCCGGTTTATGTATTCTATAATTTAAAGCTGAAACAGAGGCAAATAATCTGCCTATGAATGCCTCAACAAAAGTAGTACATTAACTTCACACCAGATGTTTATCATAACACCTCATTTCCTCAGTTTCCCTATTCTATATTTCCTGTTATTTTTATAAGAAAGAGAAGTTAGCCCAGATGGTGTGCTCAATGGTTGAGCGTCGACCCATGAACCAAGAGTTCACCAGTAGAATCCTGGTCAGGGCATATTCCCAGGTTGCCGCTTGATCTCCAGTAGGGGGCGGGCAGGAGGCAACCGGTTGATGTTTCTCTCTATCCCTCTCCCTTCCTCTATCTAAAATCAATAAAAACATATTTTTTTTTAAATGAAAGAAAGAGAAGTTAAACAACTTTAGTTTAAGCCAGACTAATTTTAAAATTAAAATTTTAGTAAAAGCTAACGAAAACATTAAGAAAATATAATCAGTTTCAAATGAACTATCCTGGTTTAGTTAGATGGAAAATACATTCTGAATACAGTGGTAAAAGACACCACATATGGGAACAATCACTATTGAGGCATGAGTTTCCAAAGTCAAATGTTTTCTAGAAACACACACACACACACACACACACACACCATGTAACTCCTATATTGCCAATATAATTTAATACTAGAAAGGTTTCTACTGAAGCATTTCTGGATGGCTAAGGAATTAGATTACAAATACCATTATGTAATCTTATTTCATCTGGCAATCTTACCTTAAAGTACATTCCAATTGTGTTTCAGAGTATGTTGAGAAAACACGGAAAATGTGTTTGTCGACTAACAAAGAAAAACTATCTCCGGGATTCAACCAGTGCCATAGATTTGTCTTCAATGGTAAGAGCTGGCTTTTCTCAGAAGACTGATAAAAACATGGACTTGTGTGTATCTAACAAAGAAAGAATACAGTGATGTTGTAACGCAAAATTATGACAAAAATACAACTAAATATGAACTGATACAAAATTTTAACATCATAATAATTTAGGTATATAAGAAACTTAAAAATCTAATCAATCTGGCACTTTCAAGTACCATAATTTTTATCCATACATACCAAAGGGGAAAAAAGCTGTAACATACCTCCCATTTCTCTAGGAGTCAAAGAAAACAGCAAAGTTATCAATTAACTGGTTAAAAGATATTTCTGTTATGCTTGAGATAATTTGACATTGGAAAGAGAAAATATGAAAAAAGAATTCTCAGTATGGAAACTGAATCCCTTAACTTTGATATCCAAAATTCACCAATTCCCTGGAAATGGCTAGCTTCTTTTCCACTTATTTTCTTTAATAATTTCTTACTATGAAAAGTTAGAAACTATGAGAAGGGAGACTTTGATCCTATCTCTCAGCAAACAACATAGTTTGTTGTTTTTAGCTTCTCACAGAGGAATCTTACTTTGTTTGAATGAAACCCCACCATGAAGATTATTATCCATATTCAAATTGCAAGTAGTAAATATAACTCAATGTCCACTACAATGTCCACTATTACATTGAAAAACAGAATTTCAAAGTACATTAAAAATAGGCCTAATATATACTTTCTTAATTTTCCCGTAATGAATATTTTTTATAGTAGGAACAGAAGTTTTTACCTGCTATATTTATACTGAATTCTAGTCTGTTCAAACTCAGGATGAATAAAACATAGCTTAACACCCATAGATATTTTAAATGGTTGTGATCAGAAAAAGTTTTAGTGCATGAAAATATAGTTGTATCTCAAGATACTTTAATGAAGTGTATAAACAGAAAAAATGGAAATGTTCAGCATATATCCATTCCCAGGGTGGTAATTACCTTGCTGTACTAGAGATTGTTACAATGTCCACTATTACAATGTCCACTATTTTGAATTACGTTTGCCACCGACTGCTTCCATGTTGAAGATAATGAAGTTGCCTTCATAACTAAGACCTATTGAAAGACACCTTAAAAATTCCAACTAGAATCAAACTGAAAGTGGCCATTTCCAAAGGTCAAATTGCCTTTTTATCATTAATATGATTAAGTGTTTAAAACAAATAAGCTTTAGTGTTTAATGAAGCAATCTACATTAATGCAGATCTTTGGTTCTTTTAATAGAATCTTATATAGATAGAGCAACTCCTCTTACCATCCATTCATCCATCTACTCCATCAATTTAAGTGAGACTTTTTCTAGGGACATCAACAATCTCTAGTACAGCAAGGTAATTACCACCCTGGGAATGGACATATGCTGAACATTTCCATTTTTTCTATTTATACACTTCATTAAAGTATCTTGAGATACAACTATATTTTCATGCACTAAAACTTTTTCTGATCACAACCATTTAAAATATCTATGGGTGTTAAGCTATGTTTTATTCATCCTGAGTTTGAACAGACTAGAATTCAGTATAAATATAGCAGGTAAAAACTTCTGTTCCTACTATAAAAAATATTCATTACGGGAAAATTAAGAAAGTATATATTAGGCCTATTTTTAATGTACTTTGAAATTCTATTTTTCTTTCCTTCTTACTCAACAAATTTCTCTTCATTGGGAAACTTGGTTAAAATTTTTATTAAATATACTCACTTTCATTTCTTTTTAAAACCTTAAGCCTTTATAAAATATAAACTAAGTAAAATATAAACAAGTTTAGAAAGTTTATAAAACGTGAAGCAAATACTATTATTAATGTTATTAATAAATAACATTAAAAATAATATTAATAAATTAAATAATGTTAATAAATAACATTAATAGTATTATTAGGCAAATATTATTAAATTATAACTCATTTTTCAGTTGTTTTTATTTTTTTTTAAAGTCTATTTCTCCAGAATATAAATAGGATATTTCAGGAGTAACTGTGATATATTCTGATTTTAATTTCTATTATATAATAAAACATGCCAAAATATCTACAAACACTTATTGAACATCTAGAGTGTTCCCCCACTCCATCCAAATGTTAAGTTCCAGATCACTTATTTACCTCTGAACTATCTCTTGAATCCACTTCTCTTTGCTGTGTGCACAGTCACTCCCTAGTTCAAGTTCACACCCACTGCTTACATTTCTTGCTTGGGCTAACATCACATCAAGTCTCCTGTCTTCATTTACCTCACAGCTTCCCAAGGTATTCTTTTACATTTATCTGCATAAAGCCTCTGATGATTCCCCAATATAAACACAGCAGTGTAAGCTCTTCATAAACCTACAGTGGTTTCCAATCTCATCTCCCAACTTCATTCACCCAAATTTTCACATACAAAAACTTTGATCCAATCACGGATGTCTACTCAAAATGCTCTTTGAATTACTACAGCCTGATATATCTTATCCCACCATACCTCTCTGCATGAATTGTTTGGACCAATCCTTATAAGTTCAAAGATTACCCATAATCACCTAATAAATCACTACTAGATTGCCAGTTCCATGGGTACATATAACTGTACCTAACACAGAAGTCTCTAATAGCAGGGAGAATCGATACTTCAACTATTAGTCATTCGTGAGTAATATCAGGAGTGGTTCCAAAGAGTTTACTATAAGAAGTGAGGCTCAAAATCTAATGTATACTAAAAATGCTACCTGTTGAGTCACTTAAATAGATTCACCACTAAAATCATTTCAATTCCATTCTCTATAAGATAAATTTTTAAATAGCAATCACTTTCACCTTCTAAAGAGCCTCTCAGAGCAAGCAGCTAGGCACATGAGCTTACTAGCTTTCAAAACCCCCTAAAAAATCACACAAGTAACTTTCTCACTATACATGACTTCATCAAATACCACAGCACTGTACTTTTTTAAAAAATATGTTTTTTATTGATTTTTAGAAAGCGAGGAAGGGAGAGGGATAGAAACATCAATGAGAGAGAAGCAAAATCAATCGGCTGCCTCCTGCACATTCTCCACTGGGGATCAAGCCCACAACCCCAGGCATGTGCCCTGACCGGGATTCAAACCGTGATCTCCTGGTTCCTAGGTTGATGCTCAACCATGGAGCCATACCAGCTCGGCATAATGTTACTTTTAAACTAACCACAGAACCATGGAATTTGGGAAAGGAGCCTAGGAACTATTTGGCTCAATTTGCAAAGAAAAAAAAAATCTACATTTTAGATTCTGAAATGTCCAAACAATATGTTTAACCAAGCTGGGGTAGGGGTGAGATACAGAATTAAAAGGATACATCTTAAATTTGGGAATAGGGTAATAAAAATACTGTCTGTATGAAAGAAAGAACTAATAAAAAAACAGGAAGTTGTACATATTAAGATGAAAGTACATGTAGGTTTTTTAATATTGTGAATTATTGAAATTCATTCCATAATAATAATTTTAACACCACAGCATCAAGTCTAAAATAAATGGACCCTCACACACAGATTTCATTCTCCTACACAATAGATTCTGGAAATGAAGAGGAATGATCACATAGTATGTTCTCAGAACCTGCTGTCCCTACAATGTATCAGTGCTTAAATGCAACACAACTAATTAAGATTCTAGCCCTTAACAGGAACTTGCAAATTTAAAATATTTTTAAAATCTCAAGTTGAATAAGGTCTAAATTTTAGAAATATTCAACTCTACACAGAGGTATAGAAACCTATTAACATATACCCCTATAACACTTACGTGACTTTGGTCCCTGCCCCGCCCCCTTAGTTATGGGCTTTTCGTAGGATCTTATTTGTAATATCCAGTCACAAACAAAATAATACCGTACATGTGAACCAGTGGTCATCTTTCATTCCAGTTCTATGTAAATGTAACACGTCCTAGGGGAAAGGAGGTAGTTTAAACAGTTTGATCTTCATCTCCCAGTTATCTTCTGGCAATAAGAAGAATATATTTTGACATTAATCCCCTATTTCCATAACCTTAGAAAATAAGACCCCCTCTGATCAGAAGCCGGAAAAAAGTGAGAGATGAAAAAAGTTAAAATGAATTGCTAATAACATATTTACCGGTTTGATTCGAAGCTGACTGCCTACCACCTCAAGAACGGCATGTCTTCTGGACACTCTCCTGTCTGTTATCTACAGCGGGGGGAAAAACAAAAATTTCAAACACAGCCACCTCCCTAAAAAAAACAGCAGCAACAACAACAAACCATAACTGTCCTTATTGAACAAAAAACAAAACAACTTAAAGATTGAGGGGCCTGCCCAAAATCAGAGAAGAATAAATGGCTGAGCAACAACTCTAACAGATCCCCAAACCTACATGATGGTATCCATTCATGACACAGTTAGTGGGGATTCTTATCAATAAAATTCATAAAATGAGGAGAAAATCTAAATAATGTATACTTATTAGAAAACATTTCAAATACAGGAAATACAGTGTAGGTTATAATGACAAACGGCTTTAAAAAGCAGTAGTCTAGTAAATGTAAAAGGTAAAACTACAGTCTTCAGTGCAAGGCCAACCCAGGTCAGGCAGACCTGCATTTGAGCTCTGGAGCCATCAGCACTACTTAAGAAAACAGGAAGGCAGGAGAGGGAGCAGTGAAAATCAAATGTTTACAGTGAAGAAGAGATTATAAACTGATATGATAATATAGTTATATCAGCTATATTACCATCTAATACAGTTGCTTCCTGTGTTTGAGCCAACAGTGTTCTACTTAAGCACACAATCATTTCTGTACACAAAAGTTAAAAAATTGTTTGCACTTTAAATGCTAAAATTGCTAATCAAGCCCGCGCTGCATGGCTATAAACACAACAGTTAAGATTTCCTTTGTAATTTGCGGCTAATTCACATGAAAACATTTCAAGCATCAATTTACCATAATTATTTGATTCATCTCATGGTTGCCTCAGTATCTATCACTTCAACTCTGATATTATCCACATGAAGACCAAAATTATAGGTAAAAACAGACTATAGCAGCGCCTAAATTCAATTAAACCCATTAGTTCTGCAAAACCTGGCAAATGTGAAACTGCCAGGAATCAGTGCTCATTATTTTTAAGTCAGAGAGTAGTTCCACACTTAAGACTGTCACTACAGAATAGTAACACCAAGCATCACAGCAGAATGAATTCCACATCCATAAATTTTTCACACAGCTGCAAGCTCATATTTAGGACATTTTCTAAAATAAAATATCTTGCCCGGCCGGGCGTGGCTCAGCGGTTGAGCATCCACCTAGGATCCAGGCGATCGGGGTTCGATTCCCGGTGAGGGCACATGCCCGGGTTGTGGGCTGGGCAGCCGATCGGTGACTCTCTCATCATTGATGTTTCTGTCTCTCTATCCCTCTCCTTTCCTCTCTCTGGAATCAATAAAGATATATTTTTTAAAATAAATAAATAAATAAATAAATAAATAAATAAATAAATAAATAAATAAATAAATAAAATAAAGTATCTTAAAGGTAGCCCATTTAAAAGTAGCCACTATCAGCCACAGTGGCTATTTCAGAAAAGTAAACATAAACTAATAACCTATTCTTCCAGAAAAGAGGGGGTAGAAATGCAGAGGTTCCTACAATCTTTCCCATAATGCACCTTAGTGAGCCAAAAACAACAGCAGTGATCTGATAACCCACTTCACCATTTGCCTAGAACTTTCACTTCAATGTTGAGAGTCACTATAATACTTCCATAGCTATTATTCACATTTTACATATTTGGAAATTGAAAGTCCAGAGAATTTAAGTAATTTGTGTAGTCACTCTTCGAGTGGGTAGTACTCCAAATGGGTAGTACTCCAAATCTATACTCTTATTAATAAAAATAAATATGGGCGAAAAATCTTCATATGACTCTACACCTACATATAATCATTCAGACATAGTTTCAAGAAATGCAAATTATTCTGTGGCTGGGAATAAGAAGTTTCTATTTCTAACTCAGGTTCTAAGATCTCACTGTTAAGTTCAATGATACAAATCAATTTTGTAACCAACGGAGTAATAAACTGTCAAACATAAAACCATGACATATAATGATGGTTCTTGTAATAGTCCGACTTGGGTTTCTTTTTTTTCAAGATATATTTTTGCAGGAAGCAATAGTGGACTTTTCCTGTCTTTCTTTGAAATAGGCTTCACTGAGAGCATTAGTAAGATTTTTAAATAATAAAAAGTATAATGTGACCTCTAGTGGTCACATGATTCCACAACAGTGTAATTTCATTACAAGCTGTGCATCTCCATAAAGCACCAACAAAGTGCTTTGAAGTCTTTGAAATTAACATCACTCAGGCATTTAGCTATAACCATTCTAAAAAAATGAGTAAGATTAAAAAAAAATTATGCTTTCTCAATGGAAAACTTAAAGGTTTAACAAATTATTCTTAAAGCTTATTTTAATTTTAGGATAGGGTAAGAAGGGTGGGTGGTGGGTGGAAGGTGGGTCACAAACAGGTTATCCTAAAGATCTCAGAACCTGCTTACTTTAACAGCTGTTGTCTGTGTTCCTTGTGAAGGGTAAACATCCATACATTCTTATTATCATATTAACTATAACAGCAATCATGTATCAAGACCAAGAACACTACACCTATCACATATTATCTTTTTTAATCTTCACAAAATCTGTGAAGAAGATACTATTATCTTCACCTTTATGGGAGAGAAAGGGCAGTACAGAGAGATTAAGCAACTGTGTAGTTATGTAGCCAACAAGCAGGGGAACCAGGATTAGAGCCCACAGAATCTGACTCTAGAGACACCTTTGCTCAGAACACTGCGCTGCCTCCTCCCTCATTATCATTAGGTAAAACATGATTTTTTAGATTATTTACCAGCAGCTTCATTCTCTAAACTAGAACATATGAATACAACTGGAAATAAAGCAGTATGGCTATTTAATCAGCAAGCAGACATTCTAAAAAAATTCAAGCTCTAAATAAAGCTCCAAAGGGCCTCAGGCTTTCATGAGGTCCTGATTATTCCAACGTCATACCCAAGTCTAACAAGATGTTACCTAAGCTCTCAATTCTCTATTCACAGTATAGAATGAAGGGGACAGGGTTTTGAGCAAGCAATGCATTCACAACGGGGGAAAATGACTGATGTTGGCCTGCAAATGGAAAGAGAAAAGCTATAGAAAAGCCAAGAAACCAAGAACTCAAAAAGGATACACCAGCTACAGGCTATTGAGAGTAGGGACAAATGACACAACATCCTTCAAAAGGTACTAAAGGCTTACCCAAGTTTGCTTATTGATTACCAGGAGTCATCAAGTTTAAATGAAAACTTCATTTGAAAGTCAGACATTTTGCATCTTAGCCATAAAAAATAGTTAAAATCAAGGAATTCCAGTTTCATATAAAATAACTGTAGCCACCTAAGTTCTAATCATACCACATATCCCCCCAAAATCAAAGATCAATAAGTAAAGCAAATAAAACCACCTATGTCCCACATCTAAAGCACTAGGAGACAGAGATCACTGCAAACTTTAATTTACATGTAAGAGGGGAAAGAAACATGAAATGCAGAAGATCAAGCTTCAGGACCTATGCTAGAACAGACCGGTGCCACTGGTCGGAAAAGAGAAAACAGGGAGTGAAAACCAAGGGGTGGTGGTTCACAGATAGTATCACTCCCAGAAAAGAAGTCATGCCTCAAGTGGGAAATACTGAAAACACATCTCACATCCAGCAGTTCAGAGGTCCAGCAAAATTGCGAATAGTTTGGGTATCAATATGAGTAATGATTATAATGGACTACAACACAAGGAATACAAAAATAATCTGTGAATTCATACTGAACTCAAGAGAGGGGCTGGAGCTAGGGCTGGGAGGAAAAGCCTTTCTTTATAAAACAATGCCAGCTAATGCCGAAGAAACAATGGAACCAGAAAAACCGTTCTTTTGTAACCACCAAAGTACACTGACTGAGTAAAGGATCAATGGCTGTGAATTTTTCAGGTAAAAGCTTGACAGGAAGCAACATTCATGAGGTCTCAAAGCATCGCTCCACCAGTTACTCACACAGGGAATGTCCTCTTCACTGCGAGAAGTCTGGCACCGCCTTCCCCAAGTCATCACACTAATAGCATCACTACCAACAGAACAAACTGACAGCTGGGCCTCCCGACCTGCTGCTCTGAGTTCACAGCACCTATGGAATGCTCTTATCCAGAATGCTTAACCTGAGTCTAATTACGGGGAAAGGATCAGACAAATCAAACCTGTGGGTATTCTATGAAACACCTGGCCTGGACTCCTAAAGCATTAGTGCCATGAAAGATAGAACAGGTCTAGATTAAAGATAATCTTTCATTGGATCCTAAACTTTTTTAATGCTAAAAAGCACATTATTGGAAAAACTGAGTAAAACTGGATTTAGAATATTAAAATGTATTACAGTTACAAATTTCTCGAGTTGATAAGAGTGCGTGTATTTATTTTCTACTTATGTAGAAACATCCTTGCCCTTAGGTGATATGTGTTGACATACTTAGGGATACAGTGCCATAATACATGTAGTTTACTTTCAAATGGGTTCAAGAGAAAGAAAAAGACAGAGAGAGGAAATAAGGCAACATGTTAACCACTAGTTAACCTAAGTTAAGGATATATATGTGTTCATTGTACTGTATAGTCTTTCAACTTTTCTGCAGGTCTGAAATCTTTCAAAATGAAAAATTCAGGAAAAAATAACTAAAATTTCAAAAATGTTGGTACTTAAAAGTTATCAAGTTACCTTGAAAATGTAGTGTACACAATTGCTAAATAACATGATAAATGTAGTATAATTCTATTTATAATGTCTTCAGTAAAATTAATAAGCATCTTTCTATTTAGTAATATGTAATTTTCTTAAAATCTCCTTGGTTTAGACTAGTCACAACTGATAGCCAACAGGCCACAAATCACTCACAGTGCTGTTGTTTTTCACTTTTACTTTGAAGAGTATATGTACCCTCCATCTCACCAGCACCCCTATAATCTTCCACTGAGCCCACTTCACCCTTTGTGGCATCCCTGGCCTCTGGTGGCATTTGATTTTGCAACTCATGATTTAAACTACACCTATACTTTTCAGATGCTAATTTTTCACATGTGTCACTGTGTACCAAATGCTACTAGTTGCTTAATCAATATCTACTCATTTCTTCTTCAGTACTAGTAGTACTCCAATATGTTCTGGTCAAAATGTGCCCAGTTAAAAATATCCAAATGCCTAGAATTCTTTGTAGCGACGGACGGCCAAGTAACACAGTTCTAGCAAAGGATATAAGAGGGGCTGTGTATCAACCACATTTTCTAGTTTCTGTATCTGCTGCTTTGATCTCCAGGGCATCAATGACTAGAAAAGAACTACTCCTCCCACGGTTATGAGATTCTTAGATAGTAAACGAATGGATCACCTATAAGTGCACATTTCATATGCAAACTAACCAATCCAAAACCATGGCCCCAATTCTGAGGCTTTTACCTGGCTCTTACATTGCCTTAATCATCCCAGGGCTAGGCATCGGACAACTAAAGGCAGCTCCTACAGACCAGAGATCAATAAAATTATTCAAACCAGTCCATCCTAAACCTGCTTCCCTGCCTTGCCCATTCATTCCCAAGAAAACAGCAGTAAAAGCTTTCCCACCAGTCCCCCTAGCTCTCTGCCTTTTGCCTTCCACTGACAGGCTTCTCTAGCGCAGCCCTGCACAGTGGGCCCTTCTTTGTCTTGGGAACCGTAATAGATTATCTTTTTAACGGCAATCATCTGATCAGTTGGCCTCACCATACCTGAACAAAACCATAAAATCTATATTTTAAAACAGAGTAGAGCTTGTAGAAAGATTGTCTTCCTGATTGAAAGGACCTGGCTCAACTGGCACATACATTTTGCCCTCTGCCTTTCTTTCTTCCTGCTTAAATGTGGCACCTCAAGGTACAACAGCACCCATGACTACAGACACGAAAGCCACATGCAAAGACTGAACAAGGAGGAACAAAGAAAGCCCATCCTTGAGTAGCTGCACCAGCCCTGACTGCCCCTGAGATCCTCTGTTACAGAAGAAAAACCTAATTGATTTTAAAAACCTATTATTCAAACTAGGCCATCTGCACATTTCTGTTACTTGCAGCCAAGAACAATTATGATTAATACCCATTACTCTAACAACTGTTACATTGATACTGGACATCTAATAACAAATTCATTTATGCTCAGCCAGTTAGAGAAGGAATACTGAGGCAGAAAAGCTAAGTAAATTGAGCACTCAAGAAAAAGAACTTCCTTTAATATTAAAAGAATTGTGTATCATATGGCAGCTGCTCAGAAAAGAAACCCTGAAGAATACACAGGCTGAAGGGTAATGCTGAAGTCACTCCAACCCTCTGTTAGCAGCAGCTAAAATAATAGTTTTTTTCAGCTACTATAAAAATACCTTTTTACTTGAATTCTGCATATTGTTTCTTGAATGGGAACAGGGCTCTCTGCTTTTATACCACTTTTGTATTGATACAATGCAGTTCCCTTATCTTTGATTTTCTGGTTTTGAATTGAATGTTTTCATGCATTATGATGTATGTACAAAAGTGTGTGCCAGAAGAAAAGATAGAAACATAAAAACATAAAAGAACTGTTTGTGACTTGTTTGCCACATATTTATTTTTGGCATTTATTGAAGTCAAGCAAAATGAAGACTGTCTTACGCTACCAGCAGAAATGCTTAGATGTTTTGAATCAAGGTCTCTAAACTATTTGTTTATTATTTCCAAAATCCTAAAAATAAACCTGAATAAAGTAAAAGCAGAAAAGCTACTGGATCCTAGAACAGACAGAATAGAATGGTACCTTTCATTTCATTTTTGCTTATATATATTTGCTGAAAACCCAATACCAGTTAATTTTTCTTAAGATGTTTTCCAAGAGAAATTTCTGAATATCGTTGACAGATATAATCATGAATTCAATGTTCCCTTTTAGCCTGCTTCCTATAAATGTAAGGACAGAAAAGAGGTAAGATTTGTTTGTTTGTTTTTTTCAGTATAAACTACATAACACACCAAGGGCTAAGATAATAAAATTTCCTTGTACAATACTTTATAATTTGCATTGCTTTCACACAGGATTATCTAGTTTGCTCTAGTGACAACAGATTAAAAAAACAGGCCAATTCAAACTTTCATGGCAGAGAAAAACAGAAAATCATCTGGGATGGGGTCTGAGCTGGTAGTATGAGAAAATACACAAACCTAAAGGTGCATGGGATCTATTTTAGGCATAATTTGCCTAAAATTCTTTCCTCAAATTGTGTGTGTGTAAAGTAAATAAAATCTAAAATTAAGACCTGAGTTGAACAGAGACTGGTTACTATAAAGCAGCTGACAAGCCATAACATTTTCTCATCTAGAGAGCTTCCCAGGATCAGGTCCAGCACACGCTCCGCAGCTCAGTCACCAACCCTGAGACCTGCCATAACATGAGATAAGCTGATCTCATTCTTCAACAGAGCAAACGCTAACTGGCACAAGGTGTTTATTATTTCACTTGGAATTTACCAAAGTCCAATTTCTGATATTAAGAAAGGACAATTTTGAGAAAACATACTTGACTTTGGCCAGAGGCTCTCTAGGTAAACTCCAATTTACAAACAAGCTCTCTTTAAAAGGTTATTAGTATACTGGGTGTGAAAAGGTTTTTGAAATAGGTGAATATACTTTCCTATAAGAATAAATAGTAAGGTTATCAGGCTCTCTCACAAACACCTATTTCATCCACAATACTGATGAAATATGGATCATTTAAATCCAATTCTTTATGCCCTCCTAATTCAAGGTTGTTTAATTGTCAGCCAAAATGGAACTGTGCTGACTTGTTACCACTGAAATTTCAACTAGCTCAACCTGTTTGGCCTGTAATGCTGCCTGCAGAGCGGATGCTATACAAGGGTAAGAACATCATCTCCGTCATTAATATATTATGATAGAGGCAACATAGTGAGAAAAGCATAAGCAGAGCTTAGGAAGACAAAACTGCATTTAAACCCTCATTTGGGACTTGGGTAAATTAAGGTTTCTTAATCGTTACTTATTCAGTTCAGTTCAGCAGGCATTTCTTAAAGACCTATTCTGTGCCAAGTATTCTTCATAGGGGACCTAGAAGTGGTTTTGAACTCTGCTTTTGCAACAAAATCGTCTTCAAAGCTTTTAAAGACACAGATACCCAGATACTACCTACAGAATCAGATTATCAGAGAAAGGAGCTAGTGGAGAAGAATGGAGGCACATGAAAGGATGGCATATTTAGGTTGAGTAGTAGTACATGGCAGATGATCATTTACATATGCATGAGAAGAGTAATTCACTACACCTACTAGAATGGCCCAAATCCAAAACACTGACAGTACCAAATTCTGAGTAAGATTTGGAACAGGAACTCTCATTCATTAATGGTGGAAATGCAAAACGGCACAGCCACTGTGGAAGACAGTTGGTAGGTTCTTACAAAACTAAGCACTTTCTTACCATACAGTCCAGCAACTGCACTCCGTATTTACCCAGATGAACTGAAAACTTATATCCACACAAGATGCTGCTCATAGATGTTTATAACAGCTTTAGTCGTAACTGCCAAACTTGGAGGTAACCAAGATGTCCTTCAGTAGGTAAATGAATAAACTGTGGAACATCCAAACAATGGGATATTACTCATCACCAAAAACCCATGGAAAGACATGGAACCTTAAGTACATATTACTAAGTAAAAAAAGCCAATCTGAAAGTCTACATACACCGTATGATTCCAACTGTATGATATTCTGGAAAAGGTAAAAGTATGAAAATGGTAAAAAGTTCAGTAGTTGCCAGGGGCTGGGAGGGAAAGGAACGATGAACAGACAGAGCAAAGAGAATTTTCAGGACACTAAAGCTATTCTGGGTAATACTACGATGGTGGACACACATCATTACACGTTTGTCAAAACCCATAGAATGCACACCAAGAGTGAACCCTAGTGTAAACTATGGACTTTGGGAGATAACAGAGTGTCAACCTAAGTTCATAGAACACAGCACTGTGGTACAGGACGCTGACAGTGGGGAGGCTGCACATGTGCAGGTGTGGAGGGTAGATGGGACTCTGTACTTTCCACTCAACTCTGCTGTAAACCTGAAACTACTCAAGAAAATAAAGCCTATTTTTAAAAATTAATTATACTGTAAAGTAATGTCAGCAAAAGTTAAACAGGATCATGGCTATAATGTGATTACCCCATGAGTCTAGTCAGCACTTATCCAATTATCCAATATGCCTACACTGTCTAACTTTAGAGGCTGAAATCATAACAGTCATTTAGTCTGAAGGACCTTCCCTCCCTACCACCCACTCTCCACCTACCAAAATTCTAACTATTCTAACACTTCATAGTCAGCTCGTTATGTCACTGACATATTCAGGGAGTTGTCATTTATAACACTGCTGTCGTTTATCATTGTCTCTATGTTGTTTACCTTACTTCCCCCCAATTCACTCACTCAAGTTGCCTGCCTGGCTCCAGTCTCATTTGAGGTTGTAACCCATTTAGTTACTTGCTTCTATGTCTCTCAGACCTATTAAACTTTAAGTACTTGTTTCTCTTTCATTTCTCCCATCTGATAGTATAGGGTGTCCCCAAAAAATACACACTTTGAATAATTACTAATTCCAATTTTTTTTCTTTTCAAATTTAACCCATTAGAATTAATAATTATTATTATTCAAAATGTGTATATTCGTCAACTATTTTCTGAGTTTACTAAAATATTAGTCAACAAAATAGGAAAAACATTAATATCATAAATGTTGCTCCATAAGCTTTAACAATTGGTAGCACTGCTTCTGTTAAAATTCACTTCTAAACTCTATATCCATTTTACCCTAAGTTACAAATAGACTCTTTTTGAGGATTGGAAGAGTGAGAGGTTGAGGCACAGAACAGGAAAGAAGAGATCATGTGTTGAAGACCTGCTATGTGCTAGACATTGTACTGGGCTCAATAACTGAGGGAGGAGCAAAACCCAGCAACTAGGAGTGCTTGGCACATCCCTAGGACTAGAAAGGTGGGGCTAGAATTCCAAGACAGCTGGTGAGATTCTGCAATAAGCAGGAACAGTACAGAGTTGCCAGAATCGGGAGCAGTTACTTTGTGTAAACTTTGTGGGACACTCACAGCATTCTTACAAGTGATGAACTGATGCCACTTGAAGAGTCCATGCTAAAGTCCATGACTCTGCCCACACCAACTGGGGCCTTCTTCTCTTTTTAATTAAAGCAGTAGTTTCTATTACTTTAGGAAGTCTCACGAGATAGACATCTGGTGCTGTCCTATGCCAGGAAAAGAGATCATAAAGGAATGTCATATAATCCCTGCTATCAAAACAAAGTAAGAAAAATTTGAAATAAAAAACAGTAGTTTTCATTTAAGAGTGTAATAACTAATCATCTTTCATTAAAGAAAAACCATAAAGCAAATAGTTTGACCTAAGGGTACTTTGTTGCTTGAGATGCTATACTGTAAAACCTTTTTCTAATTAAGTTTTTTATTTAAGATAGCTGTAGATTCCCATGTAGTTGAAATATAATACAGAAAGATCTCTCATACCATTCATCCGGTTTCCCTCAGCAGTAACATCTTGTAAAACTATAATAACTATCACAATCAGATATTGATACTGATAAGATTGAGATACAAACACTTCCATCAGCACACAAATCTTTCCTGTTGCAGTTTTATAGCCATACTCCATTCCCTCCTTCTGCCCTCCCCCCTTCTCGAACCCCTGCAATCACTAATCTGTCCTAGTTTTATAATTTTGTCATTACAATAATGTTAAGTAAATGACATGCATTTCCTTCCATGCATTTGGCTTACAATATGTAAGATTTTCAGGATAATTTCCTAGAGATGCATTCTGGTGTAAAACCTTTTCATTTATATGGATCATGACACATAATTCCAACCTAGTAAAGTAAACAAAGACCTTGGATTCACTGATGACTCACACTTAGAGCAATGGGCACAGGAAATTAAATTTCACTCTGTTCTGTTATATATGTATTTTCCTACCACTGTAAAGACATAGACATTCTTGCTGCCAAATTATTTTACCACCAAGACTGTTTTACACATTATAAACCTTTATGCTCATGTGGTCAATAAGTTTTGTGAAACTTGTCTCAAAAAAAAAAAAAAAAAGCGTGGCTAGTAAAGTGAGTTCAAAAAAATCATCCAAATGTACAGTGAACTTTCTGAGCTTTTCCACGTAGAACTAAGTCTTGGCTCTCTCATACTACCAAGAAAACAAACAAGAAAAAAAAATCTTACTGGAATTGCTACTGGAAAAGCAACCTTCACATTGAGCTTTAACTACTGCAGAGGAGAAACACGTGTGTTTGTCAGCTCCAAAATCTTAAAAAGCACAAATGATTAGTTCCTTAAATTTTTCCTTTCATGCATTTAGGATATTGTTCATAACCACATCTCATGCCTGCCAAACTTGGCAATACAATCTCATCACTGGATTTTGCTTTGAAAAGGAAAAGCAAAATCCAGACCAGATAACTGACTAACTTTCTTCTCCTTGCCATTTTTACAAACAGAACCAAGCAGGAATATCTCACAATAACAAACCTATAACACAAAAGATCAAGCTACAAATAATGAAAGGGTTTGCAACCTGTTACATGTCTATAAAACATAGGCCTAAAATCCATCCACAGTACTCTGTGTTGCTGATATAATTTGTTAAGCAAATCAAAACTCATTAGACACCAGTCAAAAGATTTCTAGATGAAACACATATCCTGCTAAGTTTCTAACTTAAATATAGGTAAAGAGATAGAGGGCAAGGGAAAAGGGTAGAGGGAAAGATAGAAAGAGAAAAGGGGGGGTGGGAGACAGGCAGTTCCAGGAAGTTCCTTCAAATGTTTGTATCTCTTAGTAAACTGAGAAAAGCAACGTTATTTAAACATTTAAGCAATTACTTGCCCAGTAAAAAAAATAAACAGATGAATTTCAACTTTCTTAATTAACCTTACTACATATACACACACGTGTACACACACACACACACACACGCACACATCCCTTTAGGACTGACTCCCTTCTCGCAGCCTTGCATTACCACTCCTTTTCCTGCTTGGAGACGGGTTGTAGGGCTCATACCAATGGTTCCATTTGGACGCTGGAGGTTAACCAACTCAGTCCACACTCGTTACTCCCCGGTATTAGCTCACAGACAGAGGCTTGTCACCAGAGGACAGCCACCCATGTCTCATTCATATTTGTATGCCCACAGTGCTAGGGTCTACAAAATGTGTTGCACAAAGTGGGCACTAAAAAGGAAATGCTGAATGTTAAGAAAACAATAGACATGTACATATTTAGAGAGAGATACAAAATTCCGTAATGCAAAAGACCAGTTTTCTAATTCCTAGACATCCCAAAGAGGGTGGAGGTTAGTTTAGTGCCACTATGTGTCCAAAAGCTGTACCTGTGGCCTTTAAATAGCCGACCTACAGCTCCATTTTCTCATCAGAACAACGGGGATAATAAGGGCACCTAACTCGCACGGTTTTTAAAGGACTGAAGAACTTGGTACGCCTGGCACACTGCACACTACGTAAGGCTGAGCTGCTGCTATTCCTGAAAAAGACGATTACAATAAAAGTAAGGCCACTCCGTCCCACAGAAGGGGCCAAAAGCTTAAAAGAAATTTTAAAATCAGGGGTTGGCAAACTTTTTTCTATAAAGGGCCAGATACCACTGTAAACAGTGGCTTGTCAGGCCAAGAGGCAATATCCGAAACAGGCTGGATTTGGACCCAGGGCCACAGTTTGCCGACCCCAGGATAAGATTATAATGATGATAACCCAAGTCGGTGCTTTTTAAAGGTAACATAAGGGAAACGGTTGTGAGTTGATTGAAGTTGCGTGAAAAACGTGCTCCCCCCCGAACTTGGAAAACCCAGACATGGCTGCGTGGTGGGGATCGGGCTCGGACAGGGGAAGGCCTCGGAAGCAAGCACGCGCGTCCGCCGCTCGGCGCTCGGGCCGCCCAGCCGCCCCACACTTACTCCCAGCAGCGGCCCGCGGCCGATCACCGTCTCTCCGGGCGTCAGGGCCACCCGGGGGCCGCCGTCCCGCGGCTGCAGCTCAAATCCCCCCGACATGGCGGCTAGGTTTAGGCCCCTACGCGAGGAGACGGGCCCCGCAGCCGTTTCCGCCTTCCAGGGACCCGCACTGAACCTACACAGGGCCCCTGGAAAAACACGGGGGGAGGGGAGCTGAGGCTCGGCCGGGGTGTGTCAAATTCTCCCGCAGCTGAGGCTCGAG